CACCGCGACGATCACCGCCGAAGCCGCCGCCGCCACCACCTCCGCCGCCAAAACGCGACCCGCCGCCGCGATCATCACGACGTTTCTCAATGCGACCATTGCGTACGCCGTGATAGTCGCCGCCACCACCACCACCAAAACGTGATGCACCACCGCCGCCGCCACGTCGATCATCATCGCGGTCGCGTCCGCCACGTGGTCCGGATCCAAAATCACGGTCGTGAGGTGCCCTATTTAAATAAAAAAAACATAGCATCAAAATATAAACATTTTTGTCGAATTTCATATGCAACTTAAAATTTATTCGATTGGTAGCCAATTTTCGTATTTTGGGAAATTTGTTCAAATTTATACATATTCATTTCTCTTCAAAATTTTAATAGTGTTTTCGATGTTTTTAAAGAAGTGTAAAATGTCATTTTAGCTGAATTATCATTTCGGCTCACTTTGATCGCATGTTGTTTGCTCGCCGTCAGATTTGTAACTGGCTGGCAACGCTAACAATTTGACAGATTTGACGTGAGAGCGCATGAGTGAGACAGCAATACAACCGCAATAAACTTAAATAAAACTAATTGCGTGTTAAGGAAATTAAATAAATTTCGAATAAAATGCAAACAGTAAGGCAAATTTGATTGACAACAACATGCAATTCCAGCATATATCTAAGAAACAGACACATATACATGTATATGCATAACTACAAACAATCGCCCTTCAATTGCTCAACTAAACAACTCGGCACCTGGCAGCGGCAGCCAAAACACAAATGTTACAGTTCTGACATTAATCAATTATACACACACAGACACATGTTAAACATATCGGTTTATTCGTTAGTAATGTGCAGTCTATAAACTACCTGCTTCCCCATCTCTTCTACTCCCCGCCAAATGTCTGTCAATTTGGGCCGCTCCGCCCTTTGCTTTTTCTAGGCACGCTAACTTGGCCAACTGACAGAAAAGAACGTTGAACGTTTATTAGACAGCAAATGTCTTGTCTAGTCCCCTCCTCTCATTCGCTCTTTCACATCGTCTCGTGCTCTACCTGTCGCCTTTTGACATGCAAAAAGGCAAATCGTGCGCGCACACGGAAGAGTTGCCCGAGACAAGCGGACGAAGCGGGTGAACGGATGAGCAGACTCTCATAATCAATTGGCGTCATTTGACATTTTAAACTAACAAACTGGTAAAGGCAGACAGAGATGGCGAATGTATATAGGCAGTGGTATCATTTTTGACATACGACGATAAAAAAAATCATGAACACGCAAACTGTACTACGACTGTTATACGCGAGCAAAACACGCGAAAAATTCCGCCAGTGCCTATACAAACACAAACGAATGCACACATTGAAGCACGTTGTATCTGCGTACTAGTGTGTTTGTGTTTAGGGCATACAGACAAATTAAAATGCTATAAAAAAGCAAACGAAGTAAAGACACGTTTCACAAATCAAGCCAATTCGTTTTATGACGTACACTGACGTTTCCCCCTCTTCAATTTTTTGTGGTTATTTCTTGATATTAGTTGTTGCTTGTGGGTAAAAAAAAAAATATATGAAGAAAAAATTAACCTAACTGCTCCCTGATGTTTGCTTTCTCTTCGGCATTTGTAACTCTCCATTAATTACTCATCGTTGAGTTTCGACGTATACAGACATTTACGAACGTTAACGCAAAGCGTGGGCAAGAAAATGGCGACGGAAAAAACCAACAAACACATGCTTATCATACTATACATACACACATTTCACAATCCCGTTCTTTTTTCATTAAATATGTTTTATTTTGAATCACTTACATTATTCCTTCAATTTTGATTTCCTCTGATTGCTCGTCTGGGTCAATAAAAAGCGATTTCCTCGTACGTCTGGACAAATCAGTAGTTAGCTTGACTGCTGGGAGTGCTTCGTCGACTGATCTGGATGTTTCGTATCGAGTTGACGATATATGAAACGCACGCTGTGCCTGCTGGGAGCAACTGAATAATACTCTAGAAGTGGGTACTGTTAACTCCTGGCTGGACCGGCTCCCTTGGAACTGTTGTGGTTGTTCTCTGCAGAGCAAAGCTAGACTGCTGCTGGTTGTTCTGTTGGTCGAACAAAAAAGAAAATGGCGACGTTGCGTTATACATTTTTCGACGTTCTTTGGTGAAATCAATAAATTGCGCCAACTGCAGGCTGGCAGGACTGCAGATTCGCACGATTTACGGGCTACGTATTGCACTAATTTTAACATTTTTTACTAAGCTTATAAATGAATATATTTAATACTACAATTTTTCACTTATTATGCATCAATCTCGTGGAAGAAGATGCGCGCGTGTTCTTACCTAACCTCGTCCAAAATGGAAATGAAAGACGATGATTTCTTGCTTGCGATATTGAAGCAACAAACTATCGATGGCGAGGGTTGACTTCTTCACAATCGATATCTCCGACGATTATTGTGCGCCGCCAGACGCAATTTCGTGTGCTTGTTAGTTTACTTTCAGTTGCAAATGTTTATTGCGCTCGAATATTATTTTTAATAACTTTTTATTTAAACGTTTTTGTTGTAATTTATAATAAAGTGAAAAATTAAAAAAATTATATGTATGTGTGTAATGTGTAATTTATTAATATGTTTTCAGTTCAAAGGCTGCTACGTTAAAGCGCCACCTATGTGGTGTTGTGAAACTGCGCAAATCGATGGCAACGCGATGCTCTAGTAGCTATTTTAAAAGACTAAAACGCGCGCCATGCGGTGGCTTATTCAATTGAGGAACCAATGTGATTTAAATGACAATAAAAATCGAACAACTAAAAATATAATTATGCCGACAGCTAAACAAAAAGTTAATTTTCAAACACGCAATTGGCGCGCGTGTGAACATTATTAATTACTATTACACTGTTTTTTTTAAGTATATTTATACTCTTTTATTTTGGAACTTTATATTTGATCAAATATATAGCTTTCTTCTATATAATTTTACGAACATATGCAAGGAAAATTCCTTATGGATTTAATATATTCAAACATTCAATTGAAACAAGGAATGAATATTGATAACAATAGGCAATCAGCTCGTTTCTTCTTTTGACTAGGGAGCCTGATCGCCTATCACAGGATAATACGTAGTCCATCCATCCAGACTGGAGCAGGCTAACTCTTTGGCTATCTTTCTAGACCTGAACTGAATGCAGAGCATCTGACAGTCGTGCATTCAAAGCACACGATATTCGAAGATTAAACTGAAGATTGACCAACTAAGGGCAATTAGATCACTGCAACTAGGGATGGAATAACACATCATGCAAATGACCGCCACGGCTTCGCTGGCAGTGCTTCAAGCGTACTGCCCAATTTTGGATAACCCGGTTTAGTATTTGAGGCGTTATTCCGGCTATTGAGTCTCGGATGTTGGCCTCGAGCTCTTCCAAAGTGGTGGGCTTGTTAGAGTAGGCTAATGACTTGACGTAGGCCCAAAGAAAGTAATCGATGGGAGTCAAATCGCATGATCGCGGAGGCCAATTGATGGGCGCTCTTTGGGAGATGACCGAGTCGCCAAATTTCTGTTTCAGAATCTCCAGCGTTTCATCGCTTGCAGCGCCGTCATGCTGGAACCACATCTTTGCCGTATCCATGCTGTCAAGTTCTGGTCCCAGAAAGTCAGTTAGCATCGCTCGATACTGCGGACCATCAACGCTAGCGATGTATCCTTGATGGTTTCGAAAGAAATAGGGCCCAATGATGCCACCATTCCATAGGCCGCACCAAACGGCAACTCCCTGTGTGGCTATTGATGCTTGATCGAGTACTTGTGGATTGAGCTCGCTCCAATAGCAACAGCTGTCAGTGTTGACGTAGCCACTGAGCCAGAACTGAGCCTTGCCTGAAAATATAATTTGTTCCCCAAATTCCGGGCTTTCTGTGAGCATATTCAGCGCCCAATGGACGAATTCACGTCGATCTCTGTGGTCGTTTAGCTCCAGTTCTTGCGTCATCATAATCTTATATGGATGTTGGCCCAAATCCAATCGTAGAATACGTCGAATCGACTCCCTGCCGATTCCCAACTCAGCGGATAAGCACCGAATGGACTTGTCTGGGTCTTCCTTAATGCTGGTTGCTACGGCGGCAATGGTTTCCTCACTGCGCACCAATCTCCGTCTGGATGTTGGCTTGTGATCCAACAGAGTGAACTCATGCTCAAACTTGTCAACTGTGCGACGAATTGTCTGCGCACTGAAGCCATGATGACGGCCGACTTCACGGCGAAATTCCCGAAGCGTATTCACAATTGAGCCTGAGTTTTTGTAATATTTTCTAATGATTTCCATACGTTCGGCAGGCGTGAGACGACTCATGTTCAATTGGCAAATCTTTTTGACTATTTTCACTGCTGTTTTCTCTCAATTACTTAAACATCTACTGAAATATAGTATAACTTTTGTTTGGACATCCTATATGTTGTGCATTAGAGAGAACAATTGTTCGGGTGTGCTTGTTGATTGCTTTGATATTTTGTAAACAATATGTGAAATGCATGCTTTAGCTGCTGGGCGTAAATAGATACCACAATAGACGTCAGATACTGTAGACTGTTGGCTAAACCGGCTACCTTCAAACAATTCTACGCTCTCTGCTCTTGGAACAAAACAAGACTAACAATTAAAATTATCGATTGGTACGATGGTTTTTTTTTGCGCAATCGATATCTTAGGATTTTAAATGTACTACTCCACAAAATTGCTTTTACTAATTTTAATGCACTCTAATATAATATTTACAATTATATATATGGTTTTTTTCGTTCAACATTTGTTCCTATTTTATTGTTTAAAGCTAAATCAAGGTGACAACGTGACTAATTCAGAGTTTCCAGCTAAAGCGCCATCTATTGGGTGTTGTAGAACTGAAGGTAATTTAAAACGGAAAATAATATTTGAACATATGGCAACGCCATGCAGTGGCAATTATTTAAAAAATAAACGAAGCGCGTCAATTCGTGGTATAATTTATTAAATAAGTAAATCAATGTGATTCAAATAACAATAAATAGTGCAACGCTTACAAACCTAACAAATGACAAAAGCTTCTATACATTTTGGCACGCCGACCCTTCAGACAGCCATACAAATCGTTTATCTTCAAGCAATCAATTTTACTGATTGTCTTTCGCTGACCAATTCTTACGCCCGGCTGCAGTGGCGTCATCGTAGGCTTCTCGCCCTTCTTTTTGCTAAAATAGTACTCTCCGTAATGCATTACCGAATTGTAATCATAGTCGAAGGCGTATTTGCCTCGCTTGCGCGAGACAAGCTTGAAATTCTTCTTGAACCGCGGCACAATGTTGTCCCAGTGAATCTTGACGAAGTTGTCACGATCAGCACGGGATTGTTCATGGTATATGCCAATGGCGTGCATCAGCTCGTGCATGATACGGCCCTCGCTGCTGAAGCAGTGGGCGCTTGTCTCATCGGGTCGCTGCAACGCGACCACCTGTTCCCCGCCTCGCTTGCCGACATACGACCAACAGCCTTGCGGCCCATCTTCGGGTGGTTCAATGAGCAGGTAATCCTCCACCTCGCCATCGTATGGCGTAAACCGGATGCAGGTGAGCGAATTGAATGTCTTCAAAGCACTCACTATCAAGTTACGCTCCCTGTTGTCATACCGTGGACTTATCTCAAAAGGTATCGTTGCATTGGGCCACAAGCGTTTCGGATGTCGCATGGGATTCACGCCCAGGCGCAGCGTGATGTACGTGTACGGATCTATGGCAATGTCGCCTTGAAATAAGCGCGGCATCGTCTCCGGATCGTCAATGCCCAGATCATCGTCTCCAATATCTGGACCGAATGGATCAAACTCATCTGAAAGGCAGAGTGGCTGAGTATGTGGAGCACTTGGAATGGATACACTAGACGCACCTGCCGTCACGCTGCTGAACTCATGGTCAAAGAAATCCACACCAGCTGGATAATGGACAAGTTGCTGCTGGTTAACGCTTTCTCTGCTCGGCGGCGCAGTCGAGGCGGCCGAGGCGGGCGACAGCCGCAGCAGCAGCAGCAGCAATAGAGAAGACCAAACTAAATCTTCACACATTATAAATAAGCTTTGATCGCCACTTTGTTATAAATATTTGCTTTAGTTTCTGTTTGTCTTCGCTTAGTGAGACGCCATTCGAGTGGCCCACGATCCAAGCTGAACCGAACCGTTCCACACAAAGACGCCAACTAAACTGGCCAACGGCTATCGCAGACATTGAGCCACTCGACTTGTATTTAATTTATGCAAAATGTGCGAAAATAAAAACTAAATACTGTTGAGCATCCGGCGTCGGCGTCGGCGTCGGCGTCGTCATCCAAATCCAAAAATCTATCAGCTGATATACGAGCGCGCCCAATGCGATTGCAGTTGGCGGCTGCTCACCTGTCCGATCCACTGGGCGACTCTTGTAATTTAATGCCGCAATGGAAACGAGGCGCTGATGGGCAAGTGAATGGCCTAAGTTTTCGCCATACCCTACACATTCTGGATATGACACTTATGTGAATGCATTTGTCTATGTTTTCTTCTAGAATGTTTCTTTTTCAATAGCAACTGCAGTGCTCTGATGAGGTAGAGTGAATACACTTACCTTTTGAGTATGGCACTTTTTGGAGTCAGTTTGACTATGCTGAAGGAAGAGTAGGGAACTTAGAGCGCGTGAATTGCTGATGTGTAGAAGACACTTCAGATAAGAATTTGATCAGTGCTGTATAGATCGATGTAGCTCATTCAGATGGCGCTAAGATAAAATGAAATAACTAGAAGTGAATTTTATAATATTATTTAATGGAAATTCCATCAAATAAGCTATAGAACTTTTGGTGCTTTGTGGTTTTATTGTTCATGAGGAAAAACCATTTTTTTTATGAAAATCTTTACGTGAAACAAAATATCAAAAATTTTCCAAAACTTTCCCTAGAATAGTCGTAGATTTGTTTATACACCTACAAGCAAAATATATATGACTTAATTGAATAAGAAATAATATAATACATACATATTTCCTCATACAAATATGAACTTTTACAACATAATCTTTGCATTGAATATATTCAATTCGAAACTGCAATAAATTAAGTTTTTTACTGGAAGGCAGATCTAAAGCTTAGCTTTCTTTTTGTTAGTATATTCTGCTAGTCGCATATGATTTATGTCAGCTTGCTTGGCTTTGTTGTTGTCGTTGTTAGTTGTCGCTGGTCAGGTTTACGTCTTAATGTTATAAATAAACAAATTTCGCAAAATTGATTTCGACGTCCGGAGGCCCGGCACGCTGCATTTCGTAAACGTTTTCCGTTGTTGTGTTAGTTGTCTGTTTGTTGTTGTTGTTGTTGTTGCTTATGTGACACCAAAGAGCAACATTTGGGCCAACACTTAAACTTGGCTGCCTCGGGGTCAGTTCATTTCAGTTGCAGATCAAAGATATGCGTATGATATATATCTGTATACATACAGATATACTATGTATATATATATATGTGTGTGTGTTGGGCTAACCTCTCTGTCTATCTACATCTTGAGGCTTTAATTGTTTTCATAGCAGCACTTGGCAATGCATTTTAATCGCCCAGCATTAATTAGGACTTGCAACTTAATTAGCAAGACAACAACAACAACAACAACGGGAACGACAGCGACAACTTAATCATGATAATTTGGAAATTTAAATTCATTTATGATATGCGAGAGCGTTTGGTCGGGGCAGGTGTGAGCTTTGATTTTCTGAATGAATAAATCATTTTGAATTTCAATTAGTTTCAAATATCCAATTACGTAAAATTGTCAGAGATATCGATGGATCTAACTACTAATGTATGGTAAATAATAGCTGGCCAGACTATGCATTGCATCATGATACCCTGTACTTTACAAAGCCCATGTGGGCAGAAAGTAAAGGGTTTTCAATTTATCTAAATAAATTGTAAGATTCAAAATTCTCTTAATATTTTAAATATAATATTTTAAATAATATAACTACAAAATTGTATTTAATAATACAAAATTCAAATATTTTTGATTAAAGAGTTTTTAAAATAAATGCACTCAAGGTAAGACTGGTTACAAGTATCATCTAGTTTGAAAATTTTTGATAAAACATCTCTGTTCTGGATGTAAAGTATAACCTATTATATTTGCTGCTTGGCTACAGATATACCCTACACCTAAGTTGATCCCATTACCTCTTTACAATCATTCAGAATATACTGTGATCTGCTTATTTCTGATACCCTCTAGTGGGTAAGTGGGGCATAGTTGACGGAAAAATAAATTTTTAAATTCTAAAGAGCTCAAGAATAACTTAAGTCTTTAACGAGTTTCTGCTATTCGTGATTATTGTATCAAGAGCATAGGCAGGGTATTCAATAGTTGAGCATAGTATATGTTTATACATTTTTGATATAAAAACTAGTCTTTATCAACTTAATTCTATACTTATACTTAAACTAATTAGAGGGTGTTTCATATTCGATCATAAGCAAATACGTCTTTATGTCTATTTTGCTTCATCTCTAGGTATTTCACATAAGAAATATAATTTTTATGTTACTTTCTAAGTAATATCTTTATCACCAAAATCTATTCTAGACGAAGAAATTTTCACAACTTGTTCGGCATTTGCTTTTGAAACCTCTTGACCTGTAGTTAACCGCTGCTGACCTGGCAAACACTTCTAAAACTTGGAGTCAAATTTCAAGCATGCTTCTACTTCGTCTTCTTTTCTGCGTTTTATGCGCTCGCCTGTTTACTGTTACTATCGCTTATAGTGTGGGCGGCAGCCAGTGGGCGGGCCATTGGCATTAAAACGCAAGACAAAACAAACGCAAGACTAATTCAAAGTTGTCACGTAATAAAACATCGAAAGCAAACGAATACAATAAAAAAATAAAGAAAAAAATATGCTGTAAGCGAGAAACAATCGCTTCACAAATAATAAAAATCAAATAAATTTGCATTTTTATTTCGTTTGTTGTTATTTTTTTCTGTCTGTTTTTATCAAAGCGACAACAACAAATTGAACCATGTACAAAACGTTATTTGATTTGATTACGTAATGACGTCACACATACACAGGCACACACAAAAAGAAACACCAAGTATTTCCCCTCCACTCGCACCCTTTTACCCCACTTCACCTTCTCGCTCACACTTTCTTGCCTTTGCTGCCTCTCTGTCTGGCTTTGCATTTTCGCCTTTTTCAACAGGGGCATGATAATTTAATAATTAACTATGTAACGTATAGCAGAAAATACCTGTTATTATATACATATATAATATATACTTATGCAGCATTGACCGTTGAGTCTAGCATGTTTGGCTGTCTTTAGTTAAATGTTATATTTTCTTTGACCACACTTAAGTTAGGCATAATGGAAACTCCCTCTATTTAATGTGGTATAGGGTATTCCAAACTTAACTGTTCTTTCTTCTTTTGCAGTCTTGCTTTGCATTTTTATTGTGTGTTTGGCTTTGTTTTGCTTTGTCAAATTTTGCTTTGACACCCGAGTGCGATATCTCCAATTATGCTTCGAATGGAATTAATTGAATTGCATTAAAACGGTTCATGATTTGTTGCTGAACTGATAAGACTGCCCTCCCCTCCCCAACAACTTAGCTGTAGCTGCATTAATCTGCATAATTCAAAGATAATATTTTGCATTTCTATCGTGATTCTCTTTGATGTATTAACAGCTCAAATATGCTGCCCTTTTGTTGATTTATGAAAAAAGATAGGATTGGGGTGGAGTGGGGAGGTTTCGGGGCTGCATTGTAAGGGATTTTGCGTATTAATTATAGCGTTGGTTAAATGAAACTTTTATTCCTTTTACGCTTAATAAAGCGAAAGCGCAAAGTTTTCCATGTTGTTATAGAGCATTCTTTGCTATGCATAAACCGTAAAGAGCATTGGGGGAGGGGCTGTGGGCGGCGTGCAGAGACGGAGGGCATCCGCAACTTTTAATGCCGCTAATGTCGATTTTTAGTTACAGAGCGCACAGGAAGCTTACGAAGAATTACGTGAGTGTGCTTGGCGCTTAAGCTGCATTCGCCCAAGACGGCTTAAATATACTTATAGATTTTGGCCAGAAAGAAAAAGTTCTAGGCCAACTTTGTCTATGACAGCCGCAGCGACCCTAGCCATACATATGAAACAATATTATTTTACGTATCTTATTTTTCGTGAGCCTTCATAGCATTAATTCAATTAAAATCTTTCCTTTCTATTAGGCTTGTAATAGGTTTTATTCAAGATTTATTCAGTAAAATTTCATTTTATTTAAAGTCAAATAAATATTGCATATATTCTATTTACTTTTGTGAACTTTAATCTGTATATTCAAAATTCCACTGAGCTTTTCGCAGTTCCCTTTCATTTGAGTTCCTTTGCCATTTCAAAGGCTTTCCTCATAAAGCATTATGCAAACATTGAACTCTAACAACAATCTGTGCTTCAAGTTGAACTGAAATTAAAAATATATATGTATATACGCATATATCTATATCTACATATACATGTACGTGTATTATATGTTATATGCGGTAAGCACTGTAAATACGAAACTTTTTGTAGTTCAAAACTTTTACAATTTGCACGTGTATCTTTTTAGTGAGAGATGCTTTCGTGTAAAATGAAATTTTACAGAAAATATTTGCTGAAAGTTATCAAATTTCATAGTACACACAGAAAAATAATTAAATTAATACTTAATAAAATATTTTCTACACTTAATTAAACCTTTTCCGATGGTGCATGACAGACATGTATGATAGCAATATATGAATTTATATTTTTATTATTAACTGCTTATTATTAATTGATTTTAATCTTATATACATGTAAAATATGGCTATAAAGCTAGATATATAGACCAATTATTATATAATTTATAAATATATTAATATTTTTTTTAATTTTTATAATATTTTGGCGATTCTGCCCAACATCTTTACTGACTATAGATAACATAATATACACAAAATATTATATTGTAATATTTATGTAATACATTTTCTCTATCACGCACGTGATTAATTTAGCGTGTCACGCGCTCATCTCTCTTTTTATACAGCTTTGCAACATTTTGTGTCAAATTCAATTCATTTCGCATCTATGGAGTTGGGTTTACGATTTACGATTGCCAAATTTCACATGTGTGATATATACAAGTGTGTGTGTGTGTGTATGTGTGCTTATGTGTATTTATAGATACCTATACATA